TTTTTTTTTTTTTTTTTTTTTTTGGCACAGTACTTTTCCAGTTTTATTGAGGTATGACTGACATAGTAAACCACACATGTTTAAATATGTTTTTATTGCTTTTAGAGAGAGAGGAAGTGAGAGGGAGAGAGAAATGTCAACATCGATCGGCTGCCTCCTGCTCGCCTTCTGCTGGGAATCGAGCCCGCCCACAACCCCTGGAGATCTAGCCCAAAACCGGGCCATGTGCCCAAACTGGGAATTGAACCAGTGACCTCTAGGTGCATAGGTCGACACTGAGCCACTGAGCAACACTGGCCTGATGTTATCTGTCTTTTTTATTATAGCTGTCCTAGTAGGTATGAAGTGGTGTCTCATTGTGGTTTTGATTTACATTTCCCTGGTGGCTAAAGATATTGAGCATCTTTTCATATGTTTACTGCTACATGGTATATTCTTATATTTAGTACAAACTTGTCTGTCGTTTTAAAAAATTATAAATATATACTATAGATCCATTTCTCCTTAATTGTTTTGTGTTTAGTGTATTTCCATGTCTAGATTCACCACCCAGAAGTTCATTTTAGGAGCCGATTAGTCTTGTGAAATTGGACATTTTGGCCGCTATGACAGATGTGACCTAAAAAAGCCTTAATAAATCACAATGTAATATAGTGATTTTTCTGATAATACCTTTAAAGGTCCATGTATTATTTTTGTTGCAGTATTTCACTGGCCTTGAATGTGGACATAAGTTTTGTATGCAGTGCTGGAGTGAATATTTAACTACTAAGATAATGGAAGAAGGCATGGGACAGGTAAAGATGCCATTTTTTAAATTTTATTTTTTGTTGAATTTCCTACAGTGTTTAGACTCTTCTACAAATATAAATAGGTGAAGCATTCTGCTTTAAGAATTGCATGAGAGCTGTTTTTCTAGATTAAAACAAGTAAAAGATAATTGAGACTTTTTTCTGTTTACCAATGTGAAATTCCAATTAAAGATCCAATTCAGTAATGTTTTCTCAGTAGGCATTAACATTGGTGTATATCAGGCTAAACTTGAGCAATTTTCTCAGATCTCTTGCTTTTGCTTTTCAAGTTTTATATTGAAAAACCGATTCAGGTCAGCAGTTCTAGTTGCCTTACAGTGATAAACACATTCGTGCACATACATTTCCTTTAATAGAAAGGGAATGATTAAGGTCCTATAAATGTTGAGGTATCCTTAGAACCTAGCAAAGTGCCTGGTGATGGTAAGCATTCAGTAAATATTTGTTGAATGAAGACAGTATAAATTTCAATCTTTTTCAGACTATTTCGTGTCCTGCTCATGGTTGTGATATCTTAGTGGATGACAACACAGTTATGTAAGTATTTTTGATAGATTCTGCATGTTAAATATTGATTAGTTGATTCAACCAAATTGATTTTTATTCAGCACCTCAAAGGAGATGGAATTTTTAAAGTGTGAGGAGATTTTCTAATCTATATTCCTTTGTAGTAGTACCAAGGCCCATTTGAAACTTGGTTTAGAGCCCAATCACTATTCTGGCAAACTTGGCCATACATGATAGTGAGATTTCAGTAAACCTTGGAATTAAGATATGTCAATGTGTCAGTGAGTTCCTCTGAGAAGCAGATGCCAAGAAAGAGCTAAAAGAGAAAGAGATTTACTGTGGGATAGCATCTGTACAGGATAAAGTGGAGAAAGAGCAGGAGTAGACAGACCTTTATGCCTGTCGGACACGTGTTAAAGGAGAGAAAGAAGGAAGGGGAATTCAGTAGGAAGAGACTCAGATTATGATGCAGCTGTGAGTCTTCTGAAGCCCTGTGAGGAGCTTCATTACTTAGATTGAGCACAGAGGAATGCTTCAATACACAGCTAGAACACTGCTACAGCTCCCAAGGTCACTGCAGCTGGAGGCTGTTAGCTATCTACTCTCCTTGTGAAAGGTTCTCTTTTGAAGGGAGGAAGAAACAAGTATAGTTAGTTCCGGACCCTGGGGTAAAGTCACAAGTTGCTTAATTCCTTAGTCAGTGCTTGTTTGGGCTGTGAGTTGTGGTTAAGAAGGCTATTGTTTCATGAAATTCTATTTGGGGGCAAACTAGATGGAAAATAGAGAAAATATATTTCCAACACCTAATACAAATATGGCTAATATTGTAAGGGCTCTTACAAATTAGGAAGAAAATTCTATGGAGTGGACATGAAAAAGCAGTTCACAGTGAAATAAATTTAAATGGTTGCACAGTGAAAGAAATGTAAATGGTTATAAACAATAACTATAATGCCTAGTTACGTAAATGTAAATCAGAATTAGATAGTCCAGCTATTTTTGTTGTTAATCCTCAACTGAAGATATTTTTTTCATTGATTTTTTTTTTTTTTTTTTAGAGAGAATGGGGGGGGGGGAAAGAAAGAGAAACACCAACATGAGAGAGACACATCAGTTGGTTGCCTCCCTCACATGCCCCAAGGGGCCGGGGGTCAAACCCACAACCCTTCAGTGTGCGGGGTGACGCTCTAACCAGTGAGCAACATGGGCCCAACTTTTTAAAAAACTTTTTACATTTCATATTGGTAAGGATTAAAATTTTGATAATGTGAGTGAGAATATAGTACAATAGGGAGTATAAACTCTGTTGCAGGCTTTTTGTAATGCAGTTTGGCAATTTCTATAAATGTGTATGCTCTTTGACCTCTCATCCAATAGTTTCATCAATTTGAATATGTCATTTTACAGCCTTCTTTACCTTCATTGCTTCTGATAAGTCAGCTATTAATCATGTTGTCTTCTATTTGCTGCTTTCAAGAATTGCTGTGTCTTAGGCCTTATTAAGGCAGCTTGGCTATGATATACCTGGATGTGGTTCTCTTTGTGTTTATCTTCTTTAGGGTTTCTTGAGCTCTTTGGATATGCAGCAGGGTACATGTACAGTAAACTTTGAGAATATTTATAAGAGAATTTTAATAGTGATATCGGCTGGGGGTTGGGGATTAAGAAGAGGGATTTTTACTTTTCACTTTATATTATTGTATACTATTGGTATGTATCTTCCATTTTCTTTTAAATAAATACTTGTAGAATTTAAAGGGTTACTTAACTAAATCAGAGAATATGTTTTTTAAATGTTTAATGTTAAGGTCCAGAAACTGGAATGTGCTTAAATTTTTTTTCTTGCCCTGGCTAGTGTGGCTCAGTTGGTTGAGCATCATCCCATACACCAAAAGGTTGCTGGTTCGATGCCCCATCAGGGCACATGCCCATGTTGCAGGCTAGATCCCCTGTAGGGGGCGTGCAGGAGGCTGCCAATTGATGTTTCATTCTCACATCAATGTTTCTTTTCCTCTCCCTTCTCTCTATAAAAATCAATAAAAATATTTTTGTAAAAAGCTTTCAGTTTAGTATGAAAGAAACTGAATGTGTCCCAATCATGGTGGTGTTATTTTTTAATTTCCAGTTTGATAGATTAAAAATTGTTTGTTTTAATTTGAATTAGATCATTTGGAACTTGCATTGAAATTGAAACCCAATTTTTCCTGAAGAAATATTTCCCTATATACCTTATGGTCAGGAGATGAAGTCATTGTCCCCATTAGTTGCAAATGCTGTCTTCAGACCTTTTCTTCACTTCAGTTTTAAAAATCCATATCCTTTGAGGATTGTGTCATCCCAGTATATCACAGCCCTTTGTGCTTTTATCAACTTGATTTCTTGGTCACTCCCACTTAATTATTCGTAGGGCTCATACTTCACTCACTACCTTTTCTTCCCCTAAAACTTACTATCATCCAGTAGGAATTCAGTGTCCATATGTATAGTCCATTCTATACCATAATCCTCTAGTTCTCAAAATATAGTCCGCTGACCAGTAGTATCAGCATCACCTAGGAACTTTTTAAGAATGCATTCTCAGGCCCAACTCCAAACTTAACTGAATCAGAAACTCCGGAATGAGGCCCAGCAATCTGAACAGCCATCTGTCTTAGTGTGATTCTGATGCACATTTAAGTTGGAGAGCCACTGCCATAGCCTTTTATTTCCATGATTTCATTTCCAGTGAAATCCCCTTCATCCTAGACACCTACCCCTAAGCCCACCACCCTAGGCCTACTCCAGCTCTATTCTAATGGAGTAGATCTTTGCAAAATCATCTTTTTCTGCCTCTTCCTAAAATATTGCTCTTCAGAGTTGTGTTCAACCCACTCTTTCCTCTCCCTGTATACACTTCATGCACTATTCCTAGTCATACATTGGAAATTCCCAAATTTATATCTCTAGATCAACTCTATTTTGAGCTTGGGACCCATGTAACTCTTTGTCACTCATTCTTCGTATGTATATTCCTCAGGCCTTATCTAGCTAACCCTCCTACTACTTCCACCATCACCAAATTCATTCTTTCTTCTTGCTTCTAAGTATCAAAGAATGGCACCACTGGATGTTAAAGACTTGCCTAAGGAAACCTTGATGATACATCCCTGATTCATTTTTTTTCTTGTTTCCCAGAGTAATCCTTGTACCACATTCTGTCAATGCCACATCCTAATACCCTTAAATCCATCCATTTCTTTGTTCCTATTTCCATTAACCTACTCCAGGTCATCATCATCTTTTAGGTGAGAATCCACCACTGGCTCATGATTTCCTTATACCCACTTTTATTGCCTTCCAGTTCTTCACAAATAACTTCTATTTTATGTTGTTCATCTGTGCAGCTTCATCTTTTGCCTCACCTTTTCTCATGTCCTCTATTCTAGCCATGTAGAACTTGGTTGAATGAAAGTACCTTGCACCCAGGTTGTGTGGCTCAGTGGTTGAGCATTGACTGTGGACCCAGGAGGTCACAGTTCGATTCCTGGTCAGGGTTGTGTGCTTGATCCCCAGTGGGGGGGAGCGCAGGAGGTGGCTAATGGATGTTTCTATCTCTCTACCCCTCTCCCTTCCTCTCTCTCTAAAAATCCATAAAAACTTATTTTATTTTTTATGTGTGTGTTTATTTTTGTTTAAAATATTACAGATACCCCCTTTTCTCCCGAATGACCTATTACACCCCTTCCTGACCCACCCTGCCCTAGTCTCTCTCCACACCATTGTCCGTGGCCTTGGGTTGTGCATATATGTGTTTGAATTCTTCGGTTAATCTCTCTCTTTTCACCCACCCACCCTCCTCTGTTCCTCTCAGATTCATCAGTCTGACCCATGCTTCCATGTAATTGAATCTATTCTGTTCATCAGTTTATTAAATAGTTCTTTAGATTCCACATGTAAGTGAGATCATGTGATGTTTGTCCTCCTCTGCCTGGCTTATTTCGCTTAGCATAATATTCTCTAGGTCTATCCATACTGTCCCAAAGGGTACGAGATTCTTCTTCTTTACAGCTGCCTAGTATGCCATGGTGGTTGATTTCTAGTTTCATGGCATTGTGATCTGAGATGATGCTTGGTATGATTTCAGTGTTCTTGAATTTGTAGAGACTTGCCCTGTGCCCTAACATGTGGTCTATTTTTTAGAATATTCCATGTGCACTTGAGAAGAATGTGTATTCTGCTGCTTTAGGATGAAATGTTCTGTAAATGTCAATTAAATCCTTTAGGTCTGTCTAATGAGTCATTTAAGGTCTGTGTTTCCCCATTGATTTTTTTGTCTTGATGATCTGTCCAATGCTCACAGTGGGGTGTTAAAGTCCCCCACTATGATCATGTTGCTGTCTATCTCCCCCTTAAAGTTCACCAAGAAATTTTTTATACATATAGGTGCTTCTATATTGGGTGCATAAATGTCTGTAAGGATTATTTCCTCCTGTTGGATTGTTCCCTTTAGTATTATGTAGTGTCCATCTTTGTCTCTTGTTACGGTCTTTATTTTGAAGTCTATTTTGTCAGAAATAAGTATTGCTACTCCAGCTTTATTTTCCTTTCCATTTGCATGGAATATTTTATTCCATCCTTTCACCTTTACCCGTTGTGAATCTTTTCCTCTCAGGTGAGTCTCTTATAGACAGTTATATTTGGGTCCTGTTTTCTTATCCATTCAGCTACTCTGTTTTACATTTAAGGTTACTATTGATATATACTTATTTAATCCCGTTTTCACCCTTTATGCTAATGTACCTTTCTCTCACTATTCCTTCTTTTTCTTAGAGCAGTCCTTTTAGTATTTCTTGGAATGCTCGTTTAGTGGTACTGAACTCCTTTAAGCCTTTTTTTGGTCTGGGAAGCTCTTTATTTCACCTTCAATTTTAAGTGATAGCCTTGCTGGATAAAACAGTCTTGGTTGCATGTTCTGCTTTTCATTACTTTGAGAAATTCATGCCACTCCCTTCTGACCTGAAAGGTTTCTGTTGAGAAATCTGATGTCAGCC